CGGTAAGATAATACTCATGCCTGAGCAAAGGTTAAAACAACACGATTCCTCCTTTTCTCTGCTGAGCCACCTACTTCTGAGATTCTGGAATGGAAGGAAAGGCAGCTGTTGGATGTGTTTTATAGGTTTTTAAGATGTTCTAAATTCAGTTACTTTGAAATTACTGAATCTTCACCTAGGAATTTTTATTATTTTGTTAATCCTAACCTGGGGTCATTTTTTCCATTTTACCCCTTTCCCCTTTCCTTTCAGGATAAAAGAAAGGAAGGAATGGAGAGGGAGAGAGAAACATCTATGTGAGAGAGACATACTGACTGGCTGCCTCCTGCACCAGGCCAGGTCAGCGGGGGATCGAACTTGCAACCCTTCGGTGCTGAAGCCAATGCTAAGGTCACCAGCCAGGGCTCTTCGCCCAAAACTTTAAAAATAAAAAAGCCTTAGCAACAGATTTAGTGAAAAAAATTAATCTAATAATATCACCCTATAGCTAAATGAGAAAATTAACAAAAATATTCCGAGAACAGGTTAGAAAGGACCTACTAAATCAGGGACAAGTTAACACCATGCTCCAATTTCTAGGTGGTGGGGCTCTATGGAAAAGCTGGGCACTCTGTCAGCCTGACACATGGGCAGGGAACTGTCATAGTTTGAGGGGTCTGGCCTGCATAGTCTCTACTGATGTCAAAATGTCACTTTTAACGGCTGCTTTTTAAAGAATGCAAGAATGCAAGATTAAAAAAAAAAAAAGGAATGCAACATTGCAGGCCTAGCTGGTTTGACTCCTTGGACAGAGCCTCAGCCAGTGGACTGAAGGGTCTTGGGTTCGATTCTGGTCAAGGGCATGTATCTCGGTTGCAGGCTCAATTCCCAGCCCAGGTTGGGGCACATGCAGGAGGCAACCAATTGATGTCTCTCTCACATCAATGTTTCTCTCTCGGTCTCTCCCGCTCCCTTTCATTCTCTCTAAAAAAATGAATGGAAAATATCCTCAGGTGAGGATTAACAACAACAACAAAAAGAATACAAAATTGTATAAAATCATTCCTACCATTTTTTTCCCAAAAAAAATATTTTAATTGATTTCAGAGAGGAAGGGAGAGGGAAAGACAGACAGAAACATCAACGATGAGAGAAAATCATCGATCGGCTGCCTCCTGCACGCTCACTACTGGGGACCGAGCCCACAACCCAGACATGTGCCCTTGACTGGAATCAAACCCAGGACATTCAGTCCCCAGGCCGATGCTCTATCCACTGAGCAAAACCAGCCAGGGCCCCACCACTTTTGAATCCATATCCCTGAAGCTCTGTATTCTATAACAAATCAATATCCTGAATTTCATTTATAAAGACACATTTCTTCAAGTACCTCTGCTCTTACCAAATGAAGGCCGCAGAAAAAGCAAGGTCTATAGAAAGGCACTAGAGGCCCGGAACACGAATTCCTGCATGAGTGGGGTCCACCGGCCTGTCCCGACTGGAGTGTGGGGGCCAATCTAATGCAGGGCTGGCCTGGGGGAGGGGTCATGGGTAGTTGGCAGGCAAGCCCCGCCCCCTGGTGGAACTCCCAGTTGAGGGGACAATTTGCATATTAGCCTTTTATTATACAGGCTAATGATCTAAAACCTCAATTAACCAGAACGTGTGAGATACTTTATGGGTGATTTCCAGGATAATCCTTTAACTCTCATAAATGAAAACCCTATCTAAAAATTACATTTCCTGTCTTAGAAAGCAATAATAAAAATAATCCAATCCTTTTTTGTGACCTAAAATTTTATCCCTCAGGTTCCTCATTTTAGACATGAAAAATTGCTTTAATGAACTTAACCATGTCCTGAAAGTACTGTCATGGAATTATAGGATTTTTCTAATTTCAACGTAAAAAGTAATGTAATCATATTTAATTAGTATTTTATGTATTGATCATATTCCTCATATCTAAAACTGAAATGTTGTTTTAGCTCAAAAATCAAATAGTACTGACACTGAAAATGTATAATATAAGCTCTTAAAACTCCCTTTTGAAACCGAGTTCCTATGAAACTGCGTGGTTTTATGCTTCTTCTCCTTAAAGGAGGATGGAGCCAAGAACAGACTCTATTGAACAGGATTCCAGTTAATCAGTTACAGGTCTTAAACTGGAAGACCTTCAAAATTATTAATATTTAATTATTGCTTTAGCACTATAGGTCTCCTATGTGAACAAATGACATTTAGCAATAAAAATGCTTTGTTAAGCACAACACTGAAATCTATATTCAAATGACTTTTTCCTCAACGTTGCTTTGAAGAACAAGGTAACAAATTAAGAAACCATTTTCTAAAACGGCTGAGAATTACAGCGTGTGGTTTTTTAAAAAATGGACTCAAAGTGGACGCCACAGAGCTCCAGCCTTCAAAAGCTGCTACAGATTTTTTAATCTAATATCCCCACCACTACAATCACCAGGAGGGCCCTTGAAAAGTATCTACTGATGAATTCTGATATCCGTGTTGCAGAATTTCCGTTAGTTTATACTCTATGGCTGCAACGCTTTTTCAGTATGACACTTAAATGTCAGGTAAAAATAACATACGTAAGCAAGCAAACCAGACCAAACCCCCTTCCATCCTGAGGCTATGTTCAAAAGAGACAGATGATAAACAAAATAACTAAATGACAAAGGGCATCGGAGCAAGTGCTGTGAAAAAAAGGGAAAGTGAGCAGGGAAGGGAGGGCTCCGGGGTTGGGGAGAGAGAGAAATTTCAAACAGTAAGAAGAAACCTCGCTGAGAATTCTGCATACAAACAGGAAAATAACATTGACTGTTATTTATTTGGCTTTGAAATGCACTGCATGCTTGCATTTTTTAAAAATATTCATAGAAGCTTTCTATTTTCTCTATTTCATTTTCTAGTTCCTCAAAATTGACTCACTGGAGAGAAGGAAGGCAGCCACAGATATTTCTAATATTTTGGTTTTCTTGATGTTTTTTGAGAATTATAGCTACAAATGAAGTGAAATTTAGGGTTCTCTATAAAACTAATAGTCAACGTGCAACTTAGATCACAAAACGTAACATTCTCTCCAGCAATTTCTGTGATCTTCATCCCATTAATATTTATTAGAGGTAACTCATGTATGAACACAGCAGTCTTAATGTCAGACTGTCTTGCATCAGTAAAACATTCAAATATTACTTGATATGATTATCTTTTAAAGTAAACCCACAGAACGTGTCTCCCCAAATTGCATATTTACATAGAAAATTCCTCTAACATTTTTAAATGAAATCGTTTTATCAGCATTTCATGCAACATTCTGGAGACGTTTTCTAACTTGCAAGCTGGAAAAAAATAACAAACACAGCAGAATAACTGATGTTTAAATATTTTTATTTTGAAGACTAAGAATTCCTAAGTATTGCAAATGCACCAAGAAAAGCTTAGACATAGTTAAGTTACAAAAGTCTGAAGTCATCTTTCACATAAGACTTGTTAGTGTGTCATACTGAAGATATTTGATACTGAAATGTATCAAATATCAAGTATCTCAATAACATCAAAGAACTAATTTAACTCGTCAATAATGAAGAAATGTGGGTGAAAAGACAAAAGAAAATATGGGTTTTGATGAGAAATACCATCACTGACTAAACTAAATACACGGGAACTATTCCCCCAATACCCAACCCAGGCACGTATTTTAAAAATGTGCTTGTCCTCAGAGAAGCAAAACTTTGACATTTTTTGCTTGGATATATTTGACTTTCAGACCTCAATCCCAAATCTGGCAAGCACATTTCAAACGCAGCTTGATGTAACTTCTAAAGATCAAATCGAGAGCAATTTGATACTAAAATCTGAATTTGATCGTCAACAGAACGTCACAAATGAAATGAAAGAAGTGCCCAAAGTTTATAATCCTCCTCCGCGGGAAGAAAGGAACCTGGAACAAAAGACGCTTTTGCCTCCTCTGCCCTTTAGATTGTTTGTTAACACCCTAGTCCTCTCCGTATTCAGACCAAGGAAGAGAAAATGGGAATTTTTTTCCCCAAAGCTTGCTTAACTGAAATACGACCATTCCATCTAGACTTGCATCAACCCTCTCCCCTACGACCCCATTTTTTTTTATTTTTATTTTTTTAAATCAGAAGAATAGATCCAAGTACTCTGTAAACTACACCTAGGTTACTGGTTCCGTGGCCAAGGAAAATGGTTACGATTCCAAGACCCGTTCGGAAGCCCGGATCTGCAATGCGTAAGCCTCTCGCTGGCGAGCCGAGTCCATCTCGGAAAGCAAGCACCGTTCGCAAGGTGGAGAGGGTGAGGACGGCGACAACAACGCCATCAGCTCGCTGAGGAAAGCTTTTTGCCAGTAACCATGGAGTGATCTCCGTCCTGAGGCGCCTAAGAGGCTTTCTTGTGCTGCTGAGGCCGCGAAGCCTCGCACGACCTCGGTCCCACCGCGGCGCGGGACGGGAGGACGCAGATTCCCAATGCGGGGAGGGGGAAGGGGGACCGCGGTCCCGCCGCCGCGCAGCCTCTCCTTGGGGTGCAAGGTGCGAGGGGAGCGGAATTCCCAGCTTCTGCCCGTTTGCGGGGAGGACCCGGGAGGGGGAGGGAGGGGAGGAGGGAAGGGCGAGGATGCGGGTCCGCGGTGCAGACGGGATCCGGCCGGGGATGCGGAGGAGTGGGCGCTTATGTAAGCACTCACCGCCCTGTGCGTGCGCCCGGCCGGTGCGCACCGGGGACCCAGCACCCGCCCGGGCATCTCCCGGGGCGCAGCTCGGCCGGCGGGCGCTGCCGGGCACGGGGCACCGACCCTCCGGCCGGGCCGCAGGTCCCTCAGACCGCGCCGCCACCCCCCGGGGCTGCGGCGGGGGCGGCCCGGACCCAGGGGCCCCGCCCAGGACGGCGCTCCACTCCCCCGCGCCCGCAGCGCGCGCCCCCAGCCGCCGCGCCCCGACCCCGCATTCCGCCCGGCCCCGCGCCGCCCGCCCGCCGCCGCCGCTCACCTCGCGCGGCCCAGACGCCGCAGTCGCTCAGCAGCGCGGCCAGCAGCAGCCAGGCGGCCGGCGCCGGCGCGGGCGCGGGGCGGCGCAGCATCGCTCGGGCGCCCGGCCCTCGGCGGGGACGCGGGGAGGCGCTCGGGGCGCGGAGCGGGTCTCGGGCGGCGCGGAGCCAGGCAGCCGCGGCGGGAACCGGGCGCCGCGGGGGAGCCGCCGCCGGGACGCTGGGCCGCGCGCTCGGGCCGCGAGCGCCTCCCCTCCTCGGAGGCAGCGCTTCGCTGGAGGCAGCGGCTCCAACTAAGATGGCGGCGGCGCTCTCTCTCGGGTCCGACCTGGTACCCGACTGGGGGCGGGGCGGGGCGGGGCGGGGATGTGGGTGGGGCCGGGAGGAGGGGCGGGGCTAAGGGACTGAGAGGCCGGGCGGATTGGGCGGGGCCGAGGGGAGGGGCGGGGCTACGGGGTGGAGGGGGGGCCTGGATCCCAGGCCCGGCGCGCGCGCAGCGGCCCTCAGAGCGCGCGCGGCGCGGGAGGGACGGCGGGGAGAGGCGCGCACCCGTGGGGACGCGGCCGGGGAGTCTCCCCAGCGGAGGAGAGGGCCCGGGGGGCTGCACCCCTGCCCCGGCCCAGAGCATTCGCTCTCCATCCCCACGCGCGTTCCCAGGCTCCGGAGCCGGGCGAGCGGAACCCCGGGACCCGTGCCTCCCTTTCTGCCCGTCCCACCCCCACCCACCCCCAAGGAGTGCAGACCCCGCTGGAGGGTGCAGCCGGGGGCCCCTGGGCGCCCACACCTTGGCCGCTGCGGGAGAGTCGCGTCGCCTCCCAGGACCTCGGTGTCCTCCGCCAAGTCGGGGTGATGGGGGCGCCCGAGGATGCGAGGTCACACCGCGCTCCGCACAGGGTCAGGCTGCTTTGCAGGGGCGGTGTGTGGGGGGGGAGGGGGTGGTGGGAAGAATGCCTGTCCCAAGGAGTCCGTCCTGAATTTGAAACTCAAGATTCCTCCATTTGCTGAAGATATCTGTCTGTGGCTTGTGCGCGCGCCCTTTTTAGCAGATCCCAGTGGGATGCAGCAAATGTGTCAAATGCCTCTCAGGTGGATGCCTCACTCCCCCATCACCCCCATCACCCCCGCACACACTGGAGGAAAGAACTGGATCCGTCAGGGAGGGCTCCCGCGGGCCAGGCCCGTGAGACCACAGCAGTGACTCCATTTAGCAGATGCGGAAACAGCCGGGTGATGACGTCCCCAGGGGAGACCCTGTAAAGAGAAATGCGGACCCTCCAGGACGGGCGGTGGCAGAGGGAGACGCCAACAGCAAAAGCTCAATGGCAGCAGAATATTAAGTGACTCCAGACGGAGCTGGAGAGCTGAGGCCATCCCTGCCCGTGTGTGCGGAGAGGGGCTGGCTGGTGGGCTGTGGGGACCAGGTGGGGCTGGGAGGGAGTGACTCAACCCGTTTGTGGAGAGTGGAGGACTTATTTAGGGGAGCAGTGGGTGAGGTAGCTGGAGGCCAGATGGTGAGGTACCTGAAGTGACAGGAGGAGGGATTTGGACTTGATCCTACAGGGACGACCTTGAGCAGCAGCTAGCAGAGGCGGGATGGAGGAGGTTTCAGAGCCTCTAATGGATGTGCTCTTCCTCCCCATCCTTTCCCCCTCAAACGCTTCCTCCATCAGAGCCTGGAGGTCCCCCCTCTGCTGCCCAGCCACCCCCGCCTCTGAGGCCAGGAGGACGAGGCGCCCCTGGGGTGCACCCTTCCCAAGGGGTCCTGCTTGGCCCTGCCCTCTCCTGCCCTCTCCGCTCCTCCCCCCAGCTCTGCAGTCATCCTCTCCAGGCACTGCTATGCGTCCGTCCCTCCCTGGCTCCCCGTGGGGGCCCTGCGGCTATCTCATCAGGTCCAGACCGCTCTGCCAGGCTGTCCACCTCTCAGCCCTCCCTCAGGCTGCTGTTGCCATTATCTTTATATATATATATATATATATATATATATATATATATATATATATATATATATATATATATATTATTCGTTTCACAGAGGAAGAGAGAGGGAGAGAGAGAGAAACATCAGTGATGGAGAGCATCATTGATCGGCTGCCTCCTGCACGCCCCCTACTGGGAACCAAGTCTGCAACCCAGGCACGTGCCCTGGACCAAAATACAATAGAATCTGGGACCCTTCAGTCCACAGGTCGATGCTTTATCCACTGAGCCAATCCAGCTGCTGTTTGCCATTATCTGCCTTCAGTTCCTTCCTTCCCAGGACCCTTCTCCACCTCTGCCCTGAGCCTCTGGTCCTCACAGTGCACCTCTGGGCTGCCTCCTCCATGAAGTCCTCCTGATTACCTCTTAACCAGCCAGGGCTTGATAATCTGCTACTTGGTGTCCTTTTCTCCTCCCCATTATTCTAGTGGGAAGGACCCAGATGGTATGGATGGAACTTCTGACTCCTGCCCCTACAAATGACCTTGGACAACTTAGGGAACTGTCTTTCCTCACCTGTGAAACAGGATAACAGCGTCTGTTCCCTCGAGTCATCAGACTTAAATGAAACGATGCGGTTGAAGTGCCTCACGGAGCCCAGTGTACAGTAGGTCTAAACACATGGCAGTTTCTTTTTCCCTCAGGAGCCCTCTGAGCTCCTGGTGTACTGCTGAGCACACAGTAGGAGCGCAATAAACATCCAGTGATGAACTAAATAAGTTGCCGTGTTTGTTTGGTGGTTTTTAAAAACTATTACTACAGAGATCCCACGTGGGACCTTGGAGATTTATAAAACAAAATGGGAAAGGAATAATCTCAGAACCGAGTTCTGAGTCTATGGGTCGATGGCAAGAGGGGGAGTGTAATGTATTCAGTTCTATTAGAAACGCAAACAAACCGGAATCCTGGTCCCTCTATCTTCTCACCCTCCCTGTCCCTTAAAGAAACAAAGAGATCGATGGAAAAGGTCCCGCAGCAGGAGGGAGAGCTCAGCGCAGCCCGCACATGCTGGGATGTGCCTGCAGGAGAGTTAGCGCAGCTCCGGGCTCCGCCTGAACGTCTAGGAAGCCGGAGAACGGTGCGCTGCCTCTCGGCTCCGCCTGACAGCAGCCTCGGCTACGTTGGCACCTTGCACAGGTCTCCACACGACGGACCAGTGAGTCCTCAGAAGGGCCCCGCGCTGGGCATCGATGCAGACTTGTGCTGGGACCAGCAGAGGGTCATGCCAGGAGCCCTGGGGCCGTAGGAAGAGAGGCGCCACCCAGCCCTGTCCTCAGCGGGTCCTTGGATGGGAGGGTAAGGGGGTGACTGTCGGCCAGGCGAGGAAGACTTGAACTTCTGAAGGAGCAGTATACGAGAGGACACAATATCCCGGGTGCCGCATTTAACATTTTTAATTGCTTTCAGAGAGGGAGAGAAACAGCAATCATGAGAGAATCATTGCTGCAGGCCTCACACGGATGGAGCCCGCAACCCAGGCATGTGCCCACACCGGGATCTGAACCGGGACCTCCAGGTTCGTACGTCGATGCTCAACCCCTGAGCCACGCCGGCGGGCAGGATGCTGCGTTTGTAAAATGGCTCTCGCTAATCACAACAGCCTCCGTACTAAGCTCCTGCCGTTTCTGTCCAGCAGCGCTCCTGGAGGGCCTTCCATTGTTCCGGGTTAGAAAACTGAACGTTGTTCTAGAGCGCACTGCTAGAGAGGACTCCTGGGATTCAGCTCCCTGTCTGTCTGGACCCGCAGACAGCGCCTTCGCTCCTGTGTGAAGTTACACCCCCATTCCAAAATCAGGGTGCACGGGCCCCAGCGGGAGCCCCCCTCTGCTGTGCGAGGCCTGAGCTCCTCCCGGAGGACCATCCCCAGGGCCGTTGCCTGAGGATGCCATGAGACCTCGGGCAGGAAGCTGTGTGCCAGGAAGCCAAGCCACCCACAGGCCGGCATGTTTTGCTGTTTGTACCGAGAGCCATGCGCCCGTGTGTGTGCGTGTGGGACCGGCTGGAGGCAGGTGAGCAGCCACCATAGCGGCTCTCCTGGCAGTGAGCCTGGCAGCGGCAACTTCGGGGTGCCAGGGAGCGGGCGGTGAGAAATCTGGTGAGAGCCACAGATTGTAGTCTCCCGAAGGTCCTGAAGCCACAGCCCCCGCACCACCAGGCTCCCCCACGTGTCTCCCCACCCACCACCTCCCCCATCCCACCCCGGTGCTCAGTGAGGCCCCATCTCGGCCAGGCCAGGCCACTCCATTGCTGTAGGAGGGACAATGAGACACGGAAGGATGTGACTTAGGGCAGACACTCTGGTTGGACAGACCCAGGTTCAAATGTGAATCTGTCCACTTCCTTCCCTTTTGTAAAATTCTCGTTTAATCTTATTGCATGTATGGTTATGTTCAATATTCGCAAAGTTCCAGAGTCAAACCCTGAAAGCAAGCTGCTCAGAGAAGTCTGGTCCGTTCCTCCTCTCTGATCTCTCCTTCACCTGTAGGTGACCATGTTGCCTGTTTGGGACTTATCCTTCCATTAACAAATACAAGCAAAGCCCGGCTGGTGTGGCTCAGTGGTTGAGTGTCAAACTATGAACCAGCAGGTTCGGTTCCCAGTTAGGGCATGCACACACACACACACACACACACACACACACACATACACGACATATGGGCAAATGTGGGACACACAACACACACTCTTTCTGCTCTGTCTGCCCATAGCATCGCGATGGGAAGGATTGGTTTCAGTGAGGAGGGGAGGAAGGGAGGAGGCGAGGGCAGAAACGAGGAGGAAACCCGGCCTCCGGCCTCGGTTTGCACAGTGAAAACAGCAGCATGTGGGATTCCCTCCACAGCTCCCTCCCATTCCCCGGAGCTGGGAGGAGCTGGGAGGAGCTGGGAGGATCCAGTGGTTTAACCAACAGGAGGCATGTTTTACTCGCACGGTCTTGCTTCAGACAAAGCCTGGTCCCAGGGATCAGCAGGGAAGACCAGACAGCCTGAGGCTCTGAGCTTCAGTTGCCTCATCTGTAAAATGGGCACAGTCATAGTAATACCTCGTTCAGACTACTGTGGGATTAAATGAGACGGTGCGTCTGAGGGGTGTGGCTCAGTGGGTGGCCCCAGAAGGTACTCTGCTCTCCTGGAGACGATGATGCTGGTGTGATGTGTTGTATGGACTCTGAGAAGTCCAAGGAGATGACGGTGAAAATAGCCCCTGTCACGCAGCTCTTTCTAGCTCGCATCTGTCCAGCATGTTCCCTTTCTCAGGGCGTCTGTATGCATGTGGAACGCACAGCAATGTCCCTGGTAGGGGTTATTTTTTAATTTTTAAAAAATATTTTTATTGATT